CGCACCAGACGGTGCAGAAACTGAACGTCCTCCTGTCCAAGTTGCTGCTGCCAGGCTCGTAATCTGTCATGCGCCCCTGTACCGCCTCCTCATGCTGCTGCCAGGTCCAGAGTGTGTCATGGGCCCCCGTACCGACTCCAAATGCTGCTGCCAGGCCCGTAATCTGTCATGGGCCCCTGTACCGCCTCCCCATGCTGCTGCCAGGTCCAGATTGTGTCATGGGTCCCTGTACGGCCTCCCATTGCTGCTGCCAGGCCTGTAATCTGCCATGGGCCCCCGTACCGACTCCTCATGCTGCTGCCAGGCCCGTAATCTGCCATGGGCCCCTGTACCGCCTCCTCATGCTGCTGCCAGGTCCAGAGTGTGTCATGGGTCCCTGTACGGCCTCCCATTGCTGCTGTCTCTATCGCCACACTCTGCCATGTGCCACTTTCAGGTCTCCTCACACTGCTGGTGGTTTCCATTTTTGTCATAGGGTGCTGTATGGCCTCCCATTGCTGCTGCCTCCACCGCCACACTGTGGCTCCACACTCTGGTTTTGGCCCCGTGACTGCCCAAATGAGTGAAGTGTGCGGTGATTCTAAGATCGACGGCACTCATCTGCATGTCATACTGCCTGACAGTATTATTTCTCTTCCCCAGGAGACTCCAAGGGCATTTAAATTAAAGGTACAGTGTTCAGCACTAATATTAAGTCTCTCTGAAGCCTAGAAACACCCTTTTTTAAGTTAAATTCACAGCGAATATATTCGACTCGAATCGAAATTTTTCCACGAATTCGCCGAATCAGTCGAATCGAATTTTTGAATACTTCGCTCATCTCTAGCCACCACTGCACAGCCTGAACACACAGCAGATGTCCCTCCTCCTCCAACTGTGCGGACGGAGGAAAACACTGAAACCTCACATGCTAGGATTGCTCAGGCGATGGCCCACATAATTACCCGCTGATCTCGGAGGCTGTGGACAAGGCGGTGCAACAAGGCATGGAACAGCTGAAGCAAGAGATCCACAATCAAACACACAGGCTATAGGAAGCAGAATGGCGTATATCGTCTCTCTACACAGGGGGGGTGCCCCAGTTCCTACTTGATAAAATAGAAGATCTGGAAAACAGGTCTCGTAGGAATAACCTACACATTATAGGACTGCCGATGTCAGGAATGGATTCACCACTGGTGGTGGGACTCACCTGCCATGTGGGCTGCAGTACCAGGGCTGGCCAGCGGGTGCTTTCAGCAACCAGAAGCTCACTCCTGCAGTCAGCCATCACCTGAGGCTGATTGCAGGAGGTGTATTTAAGGAATGGCCAGACATGCAGTCAGTGCCTTGGTGTATTGTTTCCCATGAGCCCCTGTACCTGGTATCCTGTGTTCCTGCCTATCTGCCTAGTTGATGACACTGCTTTGATCCTGACCTCTGCTGACCGTCTCCTGTTTAACCCCTGGCTTGCCTGACCATCTTTCTGCCTGATCCTCTGTACCACGCTGCCCGTGAGTTACTGGACCTGGCTTGTGACCCTAACTATTCTCTGCCTGCTCCTCCGGTACCTCGCTGCCCGCACGTTGCTGACCTGGCCTGCCTGACGCTACCCAGACGATCCATCCATCCATCCTGCACGGATCTATCCCTGTTACCAGGTCTGCCAGCCTCTTCACGTCAGGCTCCTTTCCCCGCACACCTCTGACGACGCTCTTTACCATTGCTGGATGTACTCAGGGGTCGCGACCTGGTCTCAGTCTGCCCCAAGTCAATCCCCACCATCAGGGGCCCTGGTGAATAAGCAGATTGGGACTAAGACCCCACGCCCTGTACAGTACCTAACAGCCTGCCTGACCATTCCACCTCTCCAGCCCTGACTATGCCTGTGTTCCCACACATTTCTGGTCATACCCGGATCGCTAACAGAACACCAAGGCCAGTCCTGACCAGAAGTGGCCACACAGGGAAGCCATCTTGGCTTGTGAAGGATCCTGAGGAGGTTGTGTACTTGTCGCTGTTAGTCTTAGATGACAGAGAATATGGCAATCAGATTCTGAAGGAGTATACCAGGGATCAGCTGCTAGAATGCATACAAGTTGCTCATTCACTAGTGGATCGGGGCATGGAGTTTTCTGAGGTACAACTATTGATCCAGGTTTGTGCTGAGTTGGCTCTGTCCTGTACCCCTGAAAGCAGGGATGACTTTTTTCCCCATTTAGTGCAGATCGCTGGATCACTGGTATGGTTGTTGGAGGATGATCCAGATTGCTTCCATAAGCATTATGCAGCTTGTCCATCACATGTGCTTATGGATTGTATAAACACAGTGCAGTCTTTGGTCAGACAGGCTATGTGTAAGCTGAGTTTTGTTCAACCGGTATTACAGATATGGTCAGATTTGTTACACCCAGCCTCAGTCAGCTTGCAACAACCCAGTCCTGCTTCTAATCTATTTCTGCAAAGCTCTATTCCTGCATTCCCGACAGCACCTCCAGTTCCAGCCCAGTATTCACTGCTATCAACCACATGTCAGAACCCTGTTCCCACTCGCTGCACCTATCCTGCCTTTAATCCTGTAAAGAAGCCCTCTGTAGCAACTGCTCCTTCCTCTGTTCCATCCTCCAGCTCTTCTCTGTCTTCAGCTGCTCCATCTCTTTACAGACCTGTGTCTACTTACAGTGCTCCAGTAACTAAAACCAGGAAGAAGGGAAAATTCTTTCCAACCAGTACCATCCTGCCAGTATCCAAACCGGTCAGCCTGCGGTCTGAGAACCCGCCTTCTGTTATCCAGCCTGGTCCCCCGGTGCCCGCTGTTCAGCCTGATGCCCGGATGCCTGATGACCCAGTGTACGCTACCCAGCCTGATGATCCTACCCAGCCTGATGATCCTACCCGGACTGATGACCCGATCCAGCCTGATGACCCGATCCAGCCTGATGACCCGATCCAGCCTGATGACCCTATTCAGCTTGATGACCTGGTGCCCGCTACCCAGCCTGATGGCCCGATCCAGCCTGATGACCCGATCCAGCCTGATGACCCGATCCATCCTGATGACCCGGTGTTCGTGATCCAGCCTGATGACCCGATCCAGCCTGATGACCTAGTCCAGCCTGGTGCCTCGGTGCCCGTGGTCCGGCCTGGTGCCTCGGTGCCCGTGGTCCGGCCTGGTGCTTTGGTGCCCGTGGTCCGGCCTGGTGCCTCGGTGCCCGTGGTCCGGCCTGGTGCCTCGGTGCCCGCTGTCGAGCCAGATGACTCGGTGCCCGCTGTCGAGCCAGATGACTCGGTGCCCGCTGTCCTGCCAGATGACTCGTGCCCACTGTCGTGCCAAGTGACTCGGTGCCCGCTGTCGTGCCAGGTGACCCGGTGCCCGTTGTCGTGCCAGATGACTCGGTGCCCACTGTCGAGCTTGGTGACTCGGTGCCCTCTGTCGTGCCAGATGACTTGGTGCCCGCTGTCGAGCTTGGTGACTCGGTGCCCACTGTCGAGCTTGGTGACTCGGTGCCCGCTGTCATGCCAGATGACTTGGTGCCCACTGTCGTGCCAGATGACTCGGTGCCCACTGTTCTGCAAGATGACTCGGTGCCCGCTGTACTGGCAGACAACTCGGTGCCTGCTGCCCACCCTGACGTGCCTCTGTCCGCTGCCCAGCCTGACGTGCCTCTGTCCGCTACCCAGACTGACGTGCCTCTGTCCGCTGCCCAGCCCGACGTGCCTCTGTCCGCTGCCCAGCCTGACGTGCCTCTGTCCGCTGCCCAGCCTGACGTGCCTCTGTCCGCTGCCCAGCCTGACGTGCCTCTGTCCGCTGCCCAGCCTGACGTGCCTCTGTCCGCTGCCCAGCCTGACGTGCCTCTGTCCGCTGCCCAGCCTGACGTGCCTCTGTTCGCTGCCCAGCCTGACGTGCCTCCGCTCGCTGCCCAGCCTGACGTGCCAGCCCCTGATGTCCAGCTAAACTGGCCAATAACTGGTTCCCAGCCTGCTCCTGGAGAACCTGTGTCCAGTAACCTGCCTTCCTGGGTTCTCCTACACAAAGAGAAGTCTACCAGCAGGAAACCCAGCCAGCCGGTTGACTCCGGCAGTAGGATATTCAGCCAGTTACCTGACCCGGGCGATGGAACATTTTGCTCACTAAGGACTGTTTGGAGTGTCCTGAGGCCGCTCCTTGAGGGGGGAGTACTGTCAGGAATGGATTCACCACTGGTGGTGGGACTCACCTGCCATGTGGGCTGCAGTACCAGGGCTGGCCAGCGGGTGCTTTCAGCAACCAGAAGCTCACTCCTGCAGTCAGCCATCACCTGAGGATGATTGCAGGAGGTGTATTTAAGGAATGGCCAGACATGCAGTCAGTGCCTTGGTGTATTGTTTCCCATGAGCCCCTGTACCTGGTATCCTGTGTTCCTGCCTATCTGCCTAGTTGCTGACCCTGCTTTGATCCTGACCTCTGCTGACCGTCTCCTGTTTAACCCCTGACTTGCCTGATCCTCTTTACCGCGCTGCCCGTGAGTTACTGAACGCGGTTTGTGACCCCGACTATTCTCTGCCTGCTCCTCCGGTACCTCGCTGTCCACACGTTGCTGACCTGGTCTGCCTGACTACGCCTGACGCTACCCAGACGATCCATCCATCCATCCCGCACGGATCTGTCCCTGTTACCAGTTCTGCCAGCCTCTTCACGTCAGGCTCCTTTCCCCGCACACCTCTGACGACGCTCTTTACCATTGCCGGACGTATTCAGGTGTCACGACCTGGTCTCAGTCTACCCCAAGTCAATCCCCACCATCAGGGGCCCTGGTGAATAAGCAGATTGGGACTTAGGCCCCACACCCTGTAGAGTACCTAACGGCCTGCCTGACCATTCCACCTCTCCAGCCCTGACTACGCCTGTGTTCCCACACATTTCTGGTCATACCGGGATCGCTAACAGCCGGAATCTTATAAACCTTCCTCCTTAATGGAGATATGCAGCCACCGCATTCCTGAGGCTCTGGGCCTCCATTATCCTTGTGTGGTTGAACGTGCTCATCGTGTGCAACAACCCAAACCCAATGTCCGCTATCTAAATTATGCAGACAAACAGCTCATTCTGCAATTCTATCGCAAGGGCAGGAGCCTATCCATGGATAATCACAAATCATTATTATTCTCTGGTTATTCGATGGAAGTTTCAAAACAACGCAAGTCTTTCTTCCCAACCTGCTCCCTTCTCAATCAACATAACCTGAAATTTTCTCTAGCCTACCCGACGATATTATGCCTATGCTCTTCCAAAGGCGAACAACTGTCCTACACATCTCCATAGATGGATAAACAATATGTGGAATCCATGCTGACTGGCGACCTAGTTTCTACTCCTCTCATGGATGATATATCGGCTGATTCACCCACTGTGGGACCCAAACACTGCTAAACATCAAAGCAGCCCCATGAAACACCCTTCAAAAATGTGGATGCTACACTGCTGGCCCCAAAAAATGGGGTGACACCTGAAAATATGGGGACACCCAACGTCTACCCATGGAGGGTATGCTTGTTACAGCTTAAGCTGTGCCACGTTTACCAAACTGGCATCTTTCTTTATTATTACTCTCTGTTGATATCTCCAGCCGGAGAACCCTGTTATACATATACTGTATAATAAGATGTATAAGAATTACTAGCTTCCTTGCCTAGAAGCGGACAAAGGGGTTTTATGGTTTTTTTTTTTTCCGCTCCACACACCATGTATACCGGCGCATTTTTGCTACGCATTTGCGTTTCACCCATCTGCTATGGGCATGAAAGCTAGACATTTTGGCTTAGATTAATTTCTCACACGCAAAAAAGTGAAGTCCATAGTGATATTTGTTTATTGTTCTATCCATTGATCTTTAAGAACTAGCTCAGCCTAATGACTCGTTTTTTTCTTTTTTTTAGTTGCTTACTGTACTAGCCAAGGTTTCCCATTCTGGGGATAATAGGGGCTGAGGTCCCACATAGTTTACCCGCTTTTCCTATCTGGCACAGGTGATATAATACCCACAGAAACTAGACACTGGTATGTCTCCCTTTTTCCCTCATCCTATTGCTTGGGAACGTTTCCTCTGACGAACACGCAACATAACATCTAGCAACATGCGGGTCATATCCTGAAACATCAGGGGACTTTGATCCCCAAGAAAGAGGATGAAGATCCAGCAATACGTGACTGAGATTTTGGAAATCGCTATTTATGATTACATTCTTATAGTTTTCACTATAGACGACAACAAGCCCTCTGACATTCCCCCCATGGAAGTTTCCCTCTTACCTCGCAGATAATCAAGATTTTCGCCATCCTATCCTTAACGCTTGGAATGACTAATGCAGGTCATGTTTCCGATCCTAATTTATTTTAGGAAATGGGCAAAATTATCTCCTATGTCTCTCAGTACAAGAAACATTCCTTGGAACAGTATTGTCAGGCTAGAAGTATCCTCCGGAAAGCCCAATTAGAGTTATATCAAAATCGATCCTCGGAAACGAGACGGGCATGGCAGGAGGCCAAGCGGCGTTTCGAGTTATGGGTAGACCAAAGAGAAAGGATCAAAACTTCTTATCTCTCCCTACAATTCCACAAATATGGTAATGAAACTGGAAAGCTTTTAGCCAATCTCTGCCGAGGACCCTATGCAATTACTCATATCATGGCACTCAAAGAACTTAAAGTAAATATTACAGTGGAGTGGCCAAATGAGGTTTAATGTTGAAAAATGTAAAGTAATGCACAAGGGTAAAAAGCATGGATGCAAATTACATGTTAGGGGGAAAACTTCGGGGGGAATCCAGGATGGAAAAGGATCTAGGGTTCATAGTACATGACAGACTCAACAATGGCATGCAATGCAAAGCTGCAGCAAGCAAAGCTAACAGAATATTAGCATGCATAAAAATAGTTAGGATACTGCCATCTCTGTAGATATTTTGTTTATTGCACCATCTTTTTCTGTCTTCCTTTCTGTATTTCCTCCCATGTGTGATTTACTTCTTCTTTCTTACACTGTCTTTATTGGGATGAATATGTCCACTTGTAATGTGCTTCCATCTGGGAACACATTACCATGTTTTGACCTGCAAATACCATCTTTTCAATCTTCTGCCACATCTTGTGGTCTGCTGTAACCTGCTGCATTCAGTAAAGATCTTCGTGGATGAGAAAAAAGGTGTTTGGTGAGTTCAGTTATCTGATAAAGACTGTCCATGGTGACTATATCTGCTTATACAGGTCAGGCATAGAGATCTCAACAAGGGAAAAATTCACTAATACAATAGTTGGAGTCAGAATACTAGGCCTTATGCATACAGTAATGGTGTCTGAAGGAGGAAAAATTCTTGTTCATTCCAACAAAAACAATTGAGTACTGACGTGATACTTTTTTTATTTGCATACTAACATACAATTTTGAGGACAAGCTTTCAGGGTATGTCCCCTTCTATAAGGTCTAGGCAGTACTACTTCACAAAGTTTTAGCAGAATGTTAAAAGAAATGTTGAAAGGGGGAAAAAAACCCAGAAAGAAAACACACACAAACAAATGTACACAGCAATGGTTATAAAACTAGGATTAGACTAGAGATAAGACACAGCAAAAGCAAAGACTGGGGGGGGACAACACTCGCAGAGGGGGTCGTAAAACTGTTGGATAATGAGTGAGGAATCCCATGTCCAAATTAAAGCCATTATCTCTTGTATCAAATAGAATTAGCATTCTTAGTTCAAAAGTTTTCCTTTTCTGAATAGTTTTGAAATTTCCTTTAAGAACTAAAATATTGAGGTCTTCCATAGTGTGGTCTGGTTGTGCGAAATGGTGTCCCACAGGTGAACAGAAGTCATCTTCTTTATGTTCCTTGATGGTATGTCTGTGCAAATTCATCTTTGTTTGCAACTTCTGTCCTGTTTCAACATCATAGGATCCTTTGCTACATTTTCTGAACTGGATAAGGTACACAACATTACTGGAGGTGCAGCTGTATGATCCGGTAATACTGAAGATCCCTTTTGAGTGTCTGACACTTTTTGATGGATTGATTTGGTTGCACAGTTTGCAGCGTTTTTTATTGCAGGGTTTGCTTACATTATTTGTGACCTCATAATCAGAAGGAAGTTTCCTACTGATTAGTTTATTTCTGAGGTTGAGGGATTGTCTGAAAGCCAGTATTGGGGGTTGCTGGAATATTTCTTTCAGAGTTCCATCCTCTGTTATGATGGGTTGTAAATCTTTGATTATTTTTCTTATTCCTTCTAGTGCTGGGTTGTATGTAGTTACGAGAGGTACACGGTTGTTTGTTTTTTTCTCTTTGTACTAAAGTAGATTTTCTCTTCAGGGTCTCAAGGCTGTGTTTATGCTGGTGTTGATAGTTTTGTCATTGTAACCTTTCTTATGGAAGAAGTCTGCTAGTGTCCCGAGATGGTTATCTCGGTTTCTTGGGTCAGAACATATTTAGTGGTATCTAATGGCCTGACTATGTATGATGGCACGTTTTGTGTGGTGGGGGTGGAAGCTAGAACTGTGGAGGTAGTTGCATCTGTCAGTGGGTTTCCTGTATATTGAGGTGTGAAGCTTATCATCCCTGATGTATACTGT